AACAAAAATTGTGGGACAGGGGTAGTAAGCCCATCACATGCTTGAGAATGGTGCGAACAAAGGCAAAGGCGTAGGTATCAGAGAGAACAGAACAAAAATAGGGGACAGACAGTAGTTCTTTGCAGTAGCAGTTTAATGTAGCTTATTTCTCTGTGGTTTGTACCCTCAATGAGAATTCTGGGGTTTTCAGTAAAATGGCAGGAATATTACACGATATGAGACCAAACTGGATGGGATTACACAGTCTTTTAAGAAGATTGAAAAGGTCTGTCTGGTCAGAGAGTATAATAAGAATGAATAAATGAATGAAAAAGCATTTGTTAAGCACTTACTATGTGACAAGCACTGTGTGAAGCTCTGGGAATACAAATAGAAAAAAATAAGATAAGAGGATAAATTAGAGGTAAGATGTCCCATTAGAAAGATATTACTAGGCAAAAGGATATAAAAGCCTGAATTTGGGTGGTTGCAGGGAAAGTATTTTAAAATGATATTTCTTTAAATTGTCCTTGGCACCCATAAACACCTAGCCTAATCCTTCGTTATAACATGTCAAAGCTAAAGAGACCCTTTTGATAAGAAACAAAGAAAAACGGTGGAGGTAGGACTTGTTTATTGATTGGATATATGGAGTGAGAGAGAGGGAAAAAATTAAGATGGTTCCAAGATAATGAATCTAAATTACTACATAGATGCTGGTCTCATTAACAAAAATTAAGAGGTTGGGAGAGGGCAAGTTTAGAGGGAAAGATAAAAATAATTATTCACATTTATGTAATTCTTGCAGATTTACAAAGCATAAACATAACAACCATTTAAGTCAGGTTGTATGAATATTATTATATTCACTTTACATATAAATAAATTGAGGCATGAAGTAGCTATGGGTTACCCAGGATAACACAATTAGGAAGTGGTCAAGGTTAAAACTTGGCTCTTCTGCCTCCAACTCCAATGCTATTCAACTATACCGCATTGTATCCATAATGAGACCAATTTTGCAAATACAGAGTTTAAAGCATTGGAAGCATATGCAGATGGAGCTATTCAGTCAGTAGCTGAAAATATGGGATTTGAGTTCTGGAGAGAAGCAGTAGGAGAGATTTAGGTTTGGAAGTCATTTGCACAGAGATAATAATTGAAGCTTTGAGAGAGGATAAGATCACCACAAAAGAGGATAAAGATGAAGAGAAGAATGAAGCTCAGAGTCCTGGGGTTTTGATGAAACTTCCAATAGTTGCTTCATGATTTTCCTGGAAAGGTAAAGGGGATAATCTGAAAAAAAGATGCAGACTTGGGGTCAGAAGAGATCTGAGTTTGAATCTGATGAACACTTTATAGACCTTGGGCAAATTCACCTAGCACTTCTGAGTCTCATTTCTTTAAAGGATCAAATGAAATGATATATCGGAAGGGCTTTGCATATCATAAAAGCACTCTATAAATGTTAGCTCTTATTATGATGGAATTGCTGTCTCCTTTAGGTCTACAGATTGGCCCTCCTCTCAATTTAGATTTCCAGAATAGTCTATCAAAACTCACTTTGCTGAGACCATTAAAAAAAAAAGTGGGCCCCTAACTCAGATGAAACAATTGTTTGCTTTTTGATCAATTAGATTTTTAAGGTTGTGGTAGCAATGTCCTCTTCTCAGAACATCTTTTGGCATTCTCTTGCTCCTCACATCAAAGAGGGCTGATGAAAGAACACTCATAGGTTTCCTAATTCAAAAGCTATCACATAATATCTTTAAATATATAAAAAGGAAAGAAAAGCTTTTGAACCAACAACTCAATCCTTAAAAGGACAAGGATTTGGGTTTTCATTTACTCAACAAGTATTTTTCAAGTACCTAGTATGTGCTAAACATTGGAGATACAGAGACAAAAATCAAAGTCCCTGTCCCCAGTGAGCTTACATTCTATTGGAGGAAAACAATATAATATAGAAAGGTAAATATAAAATATGTACATGATAAATACATAGTAATTTCTGGTGTGAGAGCACTAGCAACTGAGAGGATCAGGATAAACCTCATATGGGAGATTGCGCCTGAGTTGAGTCTGGGACAGGGAGTCCTTTCTTTTTCCAGCTTTTATACATAAATATTTATTTCAAAAGGCATAGTCACAAATATACAAACTTACTCCCCCAGTATATGAGAGGACAAAATTCCCTCTTTTTGTACCACCTCAGTCTCTGGGGAGTGAAAGGGCATTAGATTCATAGCGTAACTCAGTTCTCATAGAGTGTGAACTCAGTTTCAGATCCAAAACCTGCCTCAGTTTCAAGTCCCAGATGTTCTGACTTCTCAGAGCTTCCATGCTGACCTGTCTGACTGTACCATCCCACCTACAATCCTAAATCCAAGCTTGTCATGGCTCCAACTCCCTGGTCCTGTGGAAATGACTTCTAAAAGCTGAAACTGAAGAGAACAAACAACACAGAGCAGAAACAAACACTCCCATGATCGTTTCTCTGAACCAAGGTAAAAGAGGGAGAAGCCACGACTTCCCTGCTGTGGGTGAACTGGGATTGTCACCCTCTGTACATAGCAGGAAAGAGTGGCAGAAAAAGAGTGGCAGTCTCTCCAGTTTTAAAGATGAAGGCAGATAATCAAAGGAGACTATACCACTCATGAGGTAGGAGACACAGTGGCCTCCATGTTAGGCAATCTGGATATCTTTCAAAGGCTCCTCAAGGTGCCTCCACATTAGGAGGACTAGGCATGCCCAGACAAGCCCAGGTTACATATTTTCCTCTGTGTGAAACTTATCAGTCCCAGCAAATTATCAAGAGTGAATTTTTTAAAACATAGTCCTTATCCCAAATTCAATTCAGTTCTCTGTGATCTCAGGGGGAGGAAGGGTAATGAGCAATGTCCTTTCACTTGCTTCCTCAGTGCCATGAAATAGTCTCAAATATCGCATGCAAACCCACATGTACAGATAAAAATCACAATAATCTCCAAACATAACATTGTACATATTCACAGAGCAAGGAACATTTCACAAAATTTCCCAAATAAGCCAACAGAGATTCTTAACCATTTTTTGTGTCTGGGACCCCTTTGGTGGTCAGGTGAAGCCCATGGACCTTTCCTCAGAATAACGTTCTATTGCCTACATTCAATATTGAAGGAAATAACAGATTTAAGTTGGAGATCAGTGAAATTAAAGATGTAATTTTCCCCACCCAAGTTCACAAAAACACCTGAAATCTATCTATGGATCCCTTGGAGGTCTATAGACCTAGGTTTAGAGCTCCTGGTGTAAAAGAAAGCTGTTGAGTTAAAAGTCAGTACAACTTGTCATCCTTCTTTTACCAGAGACTAAAACTCTAAAAATCAACCAACTTGACCGTAATCCTGATCATAGTCTGATCTGGGGCTAGTTGAAAGAGTTCTGTTTCTCACAGAACTCCAAAAGGGTGGAGTTATTTTAATCATAATAATCATGGCAAGTAATTTCTAAGACTGGCAACTTGATTTATTCAGGCATCCCATACTAGACACCTGGGAAGAAATATAATAATATAGAAAGTATCTTTTTGCCCCTAACTACTGCACCCTTTCTTCCCATAGAATATTCTCTTTACAACTATTTCCTCTCTTCATGGCTGGCCTCCAAAGGATTCAGGTCCTAGATTCCAGTAGAATTCCTAGGAGGCATGTCCCACAAGGACTTACATATTTGTTCTCTCAGAGAGTCTTCTGGCATTCTCTTGCTACTCATACCAGAGAGGACTACTGAAAGAATACTTATTACTATATGGAAACAAAAATTTGTTTCAGGTTTTGCTTTTGTTAGGTTGAAATTGTGTCATGACACTTTTGCCACTGGAAAAAAATGTATCAGACTACTAAATGCAAAAGTCTTTGTGGTACTGAAATGCAAAAATAATAGAGTCAGGAAAAGGCTTAAAATACAAATCCAATCTTTTCAAAGGCAGGAATTTTCCAAAGGAGAGAAGTTATATCAAATCTTAGGGCTGTGAAAGTGTCTCTTAAGCAGATATTCAGAAGATTGTTGGGGGAAAGAGGGTAAGTGGGTAGGCAAAAGCTAAGAGCTCTTCATAGCTAGAGTCACTTGAATGGACCTAAGAGGCCAGTGTGGACGTTAAAAGATTCGGTGTATGTTCCTCCTTCCATTGCTGGGGATTCTGCAAAGTGGTTTCTCAATAGGGTACTCTGGTAACTCAGATAAATGGGGAATAGGAAAAGATTCCCGAGGCTTGAAGAAGTATGGCATAATGGATAGAGTGCTATACCTGGTGTCAGCTAGACTTGAGTTCAAATTCTACCTCTTAAAATAGCTCGAACTGTGGGAAAAATCAACCTCTCTGAATCTCAGTTTACTCATCTATAAAATGGAGATAGTAAAACCTGCTGGTACGTAATTAACAGGTTTGTTATACACCTCAAATGAGATGTATGTAAAGTACTTTATATGAATAAATATCAGCCATTATTACTAAGAAGTTGGAAATATATCAGCAGTTGATTGAAAAGCACCCACTCCGTTACCCCTCCCCTGTACATTCACTCGAAATGAAGCAGTCCTGGGGTCGGCTGACTCTTTCCTTTCTCGCCCCTAGCCTGGTTGGAGCATGCGCCTCCTCTCCTCACATCCTCCAAGCGCTGAAGCTAAGCACGGACTACGCCCTAGGAAATTGATTCTAGTCTAGGGGAGTTCCGCCAGCTCCGGTTCGCAGAAACTTCAGCACCTCAAGGGGTGGACAGCGCTCTAGCAGTCCTTCTAGACAACCTCAGCATCTTGAAAAGCCCTTTCTTCTCTTCAGCTTCCCCAGCAGGTGCAGAACGGAACAAACAGCCTCCTCTCAGTCTACTCTCCCTCCCTTTCCATTCCTTCTTCCTGTTTTTACTCCTCCTCTCCATTCATAACAAAAGCATTGCTATCAGTGCGGGTGGGTCTCTCTCTGCAGTTCTCTCAGCAACGCCAGTTGCCTGTAGCCCCAACGCCAAGCAGTTTCTGCAGGAAGTAAGAATGGGGCTTCTCCGGATGGGGACAATGATTCATGTGCTGGTGCTTGTCCTCAGCCAAATTTATGCTTTCCCCAAACCAGAGGGCATCCAAGGTAAGTGTACATCCTCCCTTTCCTTTTTTTTTTAAACTATGAGATAAAGCTTTGAAATAAAATCGTTGATGTTTCACTTTCTGTTCAGACCAAACCCATGTATATTAGGCAGAAAACCAGGGGGGAAAAACTCTGTTTTGATATGCACCTAAGCCTGAAATTTTATTCAAATATCTTATTTTGAAAAGAAAAATATACCACCATCCACACACACGCTATTGTTTTGTTTTCTACTTGTGTTGCAACATTTTCCAGATATTTCATCCATGTCATGTTCAGGATAGAGCTTTTAATCTCTTAATTTTACCAATCCAATTATGCTTCTGCTATTTTAGAAAGGCTTTTAAGTCAAGTTTTTAAAATGTATATTGGATTCAGAAAAGAGTATGAATCTAGGAAAATCTGGGAAACACAGATTAGAAAAATTCTGACAATTTTTCTGATTGTACAATTTGTCTCCACTAAAATCTTAAAGAGATGGTTTCCTCTCCCCCATAAATTTTATGAGCATTTAAAGTATTCTTTTTATGAGAGAAATGTAAAATGCTTTTGCTATCCATATTTGAGTTAAAATACATGTGACTTTTCAAAACACCATTAATTATATATAATGTGTGTGTTTATTCTAGACAAATCTCTACACAACAGAGAACTAAGTGTAGAAAGGCCTTTGAAAGAACAGGTAAGTCAAATGAAAAATTATAAACATTACTTTGTGGGGGTTTTTTTCTATTTATCACTATTTCTTGTAATGCATTGTTATCATAGTCATTATAACATCAGGAAGTTTAGGAACTAAGTAGTCCTTAGCACAAATTAAAATGAGATCTCTTGATAACTGAAATTTATTTTTGGCAATCTGTGGATATTTAATGATAGAAGCACACAGAGTTGTACTGAAATAAATGCTAAGGACATAATCTAGCATCTTTTGCATTATATGAACCCAATGTGTAAGTGTGTGAACTTCCCAGGGATTTTTTAAGAGTATAGTAGCATATGTATAAACAATGACTGAAACTTCCTTTTTGTTTGCTTATTTCACAATTAGATTGCTGAAGCTGAAAAGGATCAGATCCTGAAAACAGCCCCTCCAGGTAAAAAATATATATGTATATATGTATGTATGTATGTGTATATATAATCATTTAATTAATGTGAATCCTGATGATCTTAATCTAAAAGATAACAATATTATGCTGGACTTGGGGATTTTCTTCCAGAAAACAAGGCAGGGGAAAGAAATTATTCTTCTGATAACTTGAACCTGCTAAAGGCAATAGGAGAAAAAGAGAAAAAGGAGAAAGAAAGGAAATCAATACAAAACTCACCACATAAGAAATTGATCATGGAAGAGGTAGACTCAACCAAGAATCACAGACTGGTGGATGACTATGATTCTACTAAAAGTGGATTAGAGAATAAATCTCAAGGTATTTAAGAATAAACTCTTTCCTTCCTATTTGCTTTACACCTTACTGCAATTTAACATAACTACAGGATTAAGAAAATTCCATATTTAAGAAAGACCCACTATACACTCATAATCCTATAGTATTTAAACCAAAAATTGTAATAAAGTCAGAATCACTGTGGAAGGCTGCAAGCTATACATACAGCTGCAAGTTCAGATTTCTGTGGCAAGATTATTGATGCTTTGGGGGAAAGAAAACATTTGCAATAGACAGAGCTCTGAATTTTAGGTTTGGAAGACCTGAGTTCAAATCCTGCCTCAGACACTTACTAGTTATGTGGCCCTGGACAAATCACTTAACCTCTCAGTCTCAGTTTCCTCCTCTGGAAAAGGGGAATAATGCCAATAATAGGTAACCATTAATAATAAATAATATTAATTTGTATCAATATGTCACTATTAATCATGTTAATGTACCTATAATGTAAAGTATATTATTAATAAATATTAATAATAAATACTAATAGCACCTACTTCACGAGGTTGTATCAAATGAGATAATATGTAAAGTGTTTTGCAAACCTTAAAGCTCTATGCAATTTTCCATTTGATTTAAACTCTCAATACAAAGTAAAACTATAAAATTAACATCAAAATTAGCAATACAAAAGATGAGAAATTTTACAATAAAAGAAAATGCCCTATGTCCATCATTTCATGTTGTATTATTTCTTCCAGTGCCTCAGGTATGGTAATGGTACATATGTGCGTAGAGGAAGAGATTTGTTTTTCCATTCTCTGTATGGGTGCCTAAGAATGCCTAATGTTCTTCTCTTGTGTCCTTATTCTGGTCCCTGACCACAGGAGAATTAAGCTCATTATTTCTAGTTTGTAAATCTATGACCCACTGCTAAAAGTCAGCTACTAATTAAATTTACTTTTTAATAAAGCAACATAACCTGAAGGGTGGTCTAGATGAGGAAACTATATTTTGCTTTATCCTTAAAACTGAAGGCTAATCTAGAAAATGTAGTTTCTTTTCAAATTTCTTTTCTTAATTTGTGATTCCAAGTACTGGACTTGGAGTCAGTAGACTGCAAATATGTCTACACATAACTGATTCAATCATTTTGATGAAATTGACTGATTCAGGCAAAAGGTTGTTTGACTCAATTGACTAGTCATTTTAACCAGTTGTGCATGAAGACTAGTCACACATTGCATGCCTGAGTTGGCCACTGACTTGTCATATAACTATGGACAATTTAATTTTATATCACTTAACATTTTCTAAGTATATAGAAATAAGCTTAGTTTCAAAGGATTTACCATCTAGTATGATGACAATAGGAGATAGATATGTCTATATAATCTATATAAATAGATATCTATATATCTATATCTATGTATATATAATACATATAACCTGTACCTCTGTATTTATTGATAGATAGATATATTGTAGTTATAAAAATTTACAGTTGGAAGGAACTTTAAGGGGTCATCTAGTCCAAGCATATATGTGTGTTTGTCTCCATCCCTAATCCTTGTTGGATTGGATTTTATATAATCATATCTAAAATCACCTAAATGGGCCTGAGAGGGGACAAGGGACAGTTATATACTAGCGACAGCCTCTAACTCTTCATAATGTTTGAGGAGAATGAATTATGAGAGTGATTCTGATACACTTCCACTGCTGGAGAAGCAATGAAATTTTTTTCAAAGATCTTATTTTGAAGAGGAAAATTTATTACCCTGACCCTGAGGTAATCAAAATGACTAACAAATGACTATAGGACCCTGAAAGACTTGGGGATATGGACATAGTAGCTATATCCTTTTACCATGAAGTCATCATGCAGTGGGTACTTGATAAAACCTAATAAGAGGTGACACTGATTTTTAATTTGAATCTTGTCTCCAACATGTTTTACCAATATGACCTTCGACAAGTCTCTTAACATGATAGGGTTCTCAATTTCCTAAACTATAAGATAAATGGCCTTTTAGTTCTCTTCTAGCTCTTAAGTCATGATTTTTCATCTGCTCTCTTACACTTGTCTTCCCTTTGGGACCATATAACAGAAAGGATAAATTACCACTTTTGCACATATGGATGAATGATCTTATATGTTGCTATTCTGCTCAAAGTTTTGGTCAGAATGTCAAAGGTGGAACCACATATAAGCAGCAGTTCTTCCGTTCACACATCTGTTCCCAGCATTTTTTCTGGCAGGGACCATACTAACAAAATTCTTCCAGTAGCTTTTGTAGCTGCTAATGAAAAGCTCAGGGGAATATTGAAGTGGGAAGGAGAAAAGCTGTTTCTTCCCCTCTGTGCATTGCTAGCATCCTCCCTATTGGAAAAGGAAGAAGTAAGCATACTTAAAAACAAAAATAATCATCCTGCTGACTACAGCTATAGAAAGCAACCTTTCTTCCGTAGATCCTAAGGGAAAGAGAAGAAAGCAAAATATTTTTTCCATTCCCTGATTAAATCTATGCAGGACTTTTCTTCAAATGTTTACAACAAGCCTACAGATAGGACACTTGGGGTTAAGCAAGAGTTAATTTGTGCACCTGTAAAAGGACTAAAAGTTATAGAGGGCTTGGTGAAAGGAGAACCACCACCAAAAAAATTAAGGATACTTTAAATTGTTAAAAGATGTGGTAAGGGGGCAGCTAGGTGATGCACTGGATAGAGCGCTGGTCCTGGAGCCAGAGGCCTGAGTTCAAATCCAGCCTTAGACACTTACTAGTTGTGTGACCCTGGGCAAGTCACTTAACCCCAACTGCCCCCCCCAAAAGAAGATATGGTAAACCTGAGCCATATTAGGTTTATGAAAACAACTCAAAAGACTTTTTCTTAGGGGGTTGTAGTCTATCCATTGCCCTGGTCTACAGTGCTGAACTAAACCATAAATGTGAATCTAATAATTGTACCTGGCTACCTCCTATACTTCTCACCCCATCATTTCTTTGTTTCTTTTGAAGCAGCACAAAGAAGTTGTTTTGCCAGAGGCTAAACAGGTTGCTAGCTCCAGGGAATCCAGAAAAGGAACCAGGAGAGGAATTTCTCCTTTTGTTCTTCTAGAAGATGTGAATGTAAAGAGCAGCATCAGAATAGTAATACTCCAACCTCTTAACTTCATAAGAACATTATGAAAAGTTATTTGGACAGAACTAGCAAGGGAGTAAATTACCGGAGGGTTATTTAGTATCCTGGAACAGAAACTCCATTTCTTAGATTTCAGGCATAAAAACCTGCATGAGATTAGCCTTAGGGTGACATAAAGAGCCAAGTGCCTTATAAGCTTGGTATAGTTCACGTGGCATAGAATGGAAATAAGCGAGTGATGCCTGGCAGATCTCCAGGGAATCTGGTGCAATGCCTCATTGACAGCAACTCTCCCCTTGCTATTAGAGTTCTGTCTCCCCAGCATTGGTCCTAAAGAAATGCAGTCAGATTTTCCCCGGTAAATCCAGGGGTATGTATTTGCATTTCATGCTGCATAAATTTGCATATTAGGAGTTTAACAGTGTAGATTTAGAGCTGGAAGGGACCTTAGAGACCATCTCATCATTTTATAGTTGAGGAGCTTGAGGCCCAGAGAGGTGGTGACTTTTCCAAGGTCACCCACGTAAGTAGTGACAGAGGTAAAATTTGAGTCTAGATCCTCTAACTGCAAAACCAGTGGAAATTTCTTCTACATATGCAAAGCATTAACTTTATTGGGATAGCCAGATCATCTAGTCCAACCCCTTCATTTTAGAGATAAGGAAACTGAGACTTAGAGAGGTGAAATGACTTGTTCAGCATCATACAGGTAGCAAATTGTCGAGCTGGGATACAAACTCTAGTCCTTTTATAGGAACTAATAATCCATGGCTCTTTCCACTACTCCATGCTGCATGTCTTATAGGCTTATAGAGATGCCTTGGGTGCTAAGAGGTTAAGTCACTTGCCAATGGTCACATAGCCAATTTGCGTTTGAATCAAGACTTGACCTCTGGTTTTTCTAGCTCCTAAGGCTGGTCTTCTATCTGCTATACTGCTAATCTCTACAGATTGTAAAAATATTCAACAAAAATAGATGATGAGCAGGTAACCCAATGACGCTTATTCTAGATGATCCAGATGGCCTTCATCAGCTGGATGGAACTCCTTTAACTGCTGAAGACATTGTCCAGAAGATAGCCACCAGAATTTATGAGGAAAATGACAGAGGAGTATTTGATAAAATTGTTTCTAAACTTCTGAATCTTGGTTTGGTGAGTCAACTAAATGTTTAACTTGCTTGAAGTCAGCCACAACAGCAAGCCAAGTGGTTGCTCTTTTATTTTTCATCCCTTTCATTGGAGTAATAGCCTCCACTAGCATTGATCTATTTTCTTACAGGACTCTATCTTTGTTAGGGTTACAAAATCCCCTTGGTTCTGTATGACACTGAGCACTTGTGTGGTCCACGGCTGAAGGAAAGCCTCACAGTGTCTCTCTATGGAAATACTCTAAGGGTACTTGCCGAAAGTGGGACCACAGACTTCAGAGCTAGAAGGGACTTTAGGGATAGTCTAAGCCAGTAGTGTCAAATTCAGCTAGAAGCCCGATGAGTCACATATTGGTTTAGAAAACCAGAAATTGACATTATCTATGTTGTATTGCATTTTTAAAATTTCCCAATTACATTTTAATCTTGTTCAGTCCCCTGGGAGTTATGTGGTTACCTGCAAGTTTGACTTCTCTTATCTCGTCCAACCCCCTCATTTTATGATGAAGAAATTGAGGCCCAGAAAAGTTTACATGATTCCCCACAAGGTCACACAACTAGAAGATGTGGTTTGAACCTAGGGTGTTTTTTAATTCTAATTACACTGCTTTTTATTTTATCTTTTTCTTTAAAAAAATAAATTTCTATTGATATTTTCTCTTTCATACAATACCAGAATATCCCATACATCCCTCCTTCTCCCTTCCCCTCTCCCAGAGAGCCATTTCATATGACAAATAGTATTTTTGAAGAGGAAAAAAAGTCAGTACAACTAATTGCTATGTTGAAAAAGTCCAAAAACATGTGCATTGTGTAACACCCGTGGACCTCCTGCCTCCATGAAGGGGTAGGTTGGGAGTGTCTTACTAAATCTCTTCATTTGAGTCCCACTTGTTCTTTATAATTTTTTATATTTACTTTTGATTTTTGGTGTGTCATTCTTTCCATTTACATTTTAGTTAGTGTGTATGTTATTTTCTTATCTGCTCTTAACTCTGCATCTATTCATATAGATCTTTCCATGGTTCTCTGGATTCATCACACACATCATTTCTTACAGCACAAGAACATTGTGGCACTATATTTTTAATGACTTCACTTCTCTGAAAGTGAATGGGATGGTTTCAGGCCTTCTTGAAACCACACCTCATCCTTCTTATATGCTCTAGTATTTAGAAAATGTGAACCATAGAAAGATAAGGAAACTGAGGCCCAAAATTGATAAATAACTTCAACAAGGACACATGATGACAGAGCCCAATTTTGAGAGCCAGTACTCTTTCTACTGAATGTACCTAGGGCCCACATATTAATCTGGATCTAGCAGATCTAACAGAAATCTAAAAATGTGGTCCTTGTATCACATGCAGTTTGAGTTGCTTTTTTTGCAGGGAATTGAAGTTTATAGTTAGCCACAATACTCTCTGATTCAGCCTCCTTGCATATGTTGACAGAGTTATGGCATGTCAGAGCTGAAAATCTGGAGGAAAGCAGATGGAATGGGGTTACCTGTATATTATACATAACAACTGTAGTGCCCCAGGTGTTTCTCTATAACTCTGTTACAAGTGAATTGCTTAATGATCTGCAGGAGCAGAGAGAATTTTCTTAATGGGAGTTCCCTGCACCAGTGAAACCATAGGTTGAGAACAAAAACATGTTTTAGGGGCAGCTAGATGGTTCAGTGGAGAGCTCTGGCTTTGGAGTCAGAATGGACCTGAGTTAGCATCTGGCCTCAGACACTTGACACTTACTAGCTGTGTGACCCTGAGCAAGTCACTTAACCCTGATTGCTTCACCAAAAAGGAAAAAAATGTTTTTAATGAAATGTCTTATGGTACATTTTATGAATAAAACTTAGGTATTCATGGTTAGAAAGACAGTAAGTTATAGGTCTCCACCATTTACCTCTCTGAGTAGAATTTAATTGGTGAAAATAAATAAAACTTTTTAAAAACATTTTTTCTTATAAATAAGGGTGAGGAAGGGAATAAACATTTATATGGCACCTACTGTGTGCCAAGCACCGTACTAAACACTTTTACAAATATTATTTCATTTGATTCTTTTTTTTTAGGCAATGGGGTTAAGTGACTTGCCCAGGGTCACATAGCTAGTAAGTATCTGATGTGAGATTTGAAATCAGGTTTTTCCTGACTCCAGACCCAGTGCTCTATCCTCTTTGACACCTGCCTGAAGGAGAGGAGGAAGGTAAAAACAAAGGATATGGCAAGGGAGCATGACAAAGGGCTATCAGTGACAAAATTCAGATTTCATTTTGTCAAAAGCTGTATCTGCATTGGGACATTTGACATCATTGAAATACAGTCCTGAAGGCTGAAGGAATGACCTTCAATAGCAAGTCATGACTCACCAGGAAAATAGGAAGAGGATTCTCAGAGGGAATGTCATATGTCCTGAGTCCGATTTTATCTGTGTTTTACACATTACTAAGTGCATGGTGGGTTCGATATATTTATGTTGTAATATTCATATCTATAATCTTGTGAAGGAGAAATTTACTCTGAGAATCAGCACAGTTTTAGCATTATTTCAGGATTAGAATATCTCCCAATTTTACAGGAATATGTAAGTAAAATAGCTGTAAAGTCAGCATCTTCTGCAGCTCCCTCCCAATTCAATCAATGAACAAGGTATTTTTTTTTAATCCCTGCAAAGAGCTGGGGATACCAACACAAAAGTATGCTAGTCCCTGCCCTCATGGAGCTTGCATTCTACAAGTTCACAGATTAATAAATAAACAAAATAAACAAAAAAACAATTAGGGGAGGAGAGTACTAACAAGTGGGAACCAAGATGGTCCCCCCCTTGAAGGAGGGAACATTTTACCCAAGGCTTAAAGAGAGCCAGGGGTTTCAGGTATCAGAAATAAGGAGGGAAGGCATTCCAGGGATGAGGGATAGCCTGAGAAAAGACTAAAGTGGGAGATGGAATATTCCATAGAGAAAATAAAGCTGAGAAGTGGGCCAAGCGAAGTGAAGGATCACATCTGTGGCTAGGCAGAGAAATTAGTGGCACAGACAGATCTGTAGCAGGCCTACTGAGTGGAATTTCTTTATAGAAAGCTCTGCTTTCCTGCCCTGCCATATGGTCTTAAGAATACATCTGACACAACCAGAGGTATTTAAACAGTGAAGTTAGATAAAGCCTAGACATAGCAAAGGGAGGCATCTCTGCTCTGGTTTTAATTGGAGTTAGAGCCCCCTAGGATATCAGCATCTTCTAGAGTTAGAGGATGGTCTGATTCAGACCTAGAAACCCAAAGCTAGTAACATGACAATTTCAGAACAGATTTCTAGTGTTAAATGCTGGAAGGTCCACCTGGGATAATGGCAAAGATACCATACTTGAAGTCAGGAGAGAACTGACTTTGAATCCCACCTTTGATATTCATTATCTATATGAGTATTGAGAAATCACCTACCCTCTAGACCTCAATCTCCTCATCCCTTAAAATGGGAATAATACCCTATACCATATAGGACCTATATATAGTACCTATATATGGTACCTATACCCTGGGACAGCAAGGTGATGCAATGGGTAGAGTGTAGAGTACAGGTCCTGGAGTCAGGAAGACTAATCTTTCCAAGTTCAAATCTGTCCTCAGACACTTACGAGATGTGTGATCCTAGGTAAGTCACTTAACCCTGTTTGCCTCAGTTCCTCCTGAGCTATAAGAAGAAATGACAAACCATTCCAGTGTCTTTGCCAAGAAAACCCCAAATGGGGTCATAGTAAAACATGCTAGGGGTTTTTTTCTTCTTAGCCCTCTGGAAGAGCAGATTGGAAGGGAAAATAAGAGGTGAGATATAGGAGATTTGGTCTCCCCTTTTCACACAAAAAGAGAAGAATAAAATCTACTATTAAAAAAACCCTGGCTTATTTTGGTGACATTATTTAATCTACTTCATGGAATATTTCTACAATTTGTTCTAATAGCTTTTGCTATGATTCTCCTTTTATGGCTCCTGCAGGGTAGTCATAGCACCTGGAGCAACAGAGGAGATAAAAGGCTCTCTCTCTGCTTCCTGACGCATTCAGGTTTATGCCATGTCCTAGTGATGCCGCCGCAAAACAAAAGCTTCTATAGCTACTAAAAATCAGTGTGCAGAAAAACGAGCTCGGAGGGGAAAGGATAAGAGCATATGGAGTCAGATGTATTCAGATGTAATTCTTGAGTGGAATTCCCTCTAACTCTGCCCCCTCTCTGTCCTGGGCCTCTTGCCCAAAGAGATTTGGAGAACACGAAGGTGGCAGTTTGCTAGCAGGGTAATTCTGCTCTGTTTCAGGAAGCACTCTTCCCTCTTTTTTTCATAAATCTGTAGAGGGCTTTACTCCAGAAATTTTGGGGGATCAGACTTATTATTTGCTGCAATCTTGATATTTCCTTATTAGAATCACAGATTTAGAAATAGAAGAGGCCATCTAGTCTACCCCCTCTCATTTTCCCAATGAGGAGAGTGAGGCCCTCTAGAGCTTAAGTGATTTGAGTAAGCAGCAAAAGTAGGATTTGAACCCATATTCTTTGATTCCCAGTATGATTAACCTCTCTAGACTTCAGTTTCCTCAACTGTAAAATGATGGTGTTATACCAGATGACTTCTAAGACACTTTTCATCACTAAATTTATAATCTTATGATCCTTTTTTTAAGTAGCAATAATATAATGACAACGGTAATATATTATTATGATGATGTAATATGGAGTAATATGGTGCTGGGGTATCTAATGTGCAATTATGCAGGGTTGGGAGGATGCTCCCTCAATCCATGCATAGGTAAACTGGTCTCAAATAGGTCTCATTCTATCCACCCATTCCCTAAGCTGTAGAGTCTCCAAAAGGCATGTGGTATGGTCCTGAGTCAATGGTTACCCATAAGCGATGATTATGCTGCGTTTACAGTGGTTAACCACATACTCTGATGCAGTACACATGATATCACAACAGTGATTATAACAACACTACTTTACCAGCTGCTGCACAATGAGGGTGAGGATACTTAGTGACTGGGGAACATGTGGGAGTAGATCAGTGGGAGGATTTTTCCCTTCTAGACTCAGGATTACCTCTAGATTCACTCTAATTGAAAAGAGAAAAATTAAGATGAATATTTTCATTCTTCCTTTTTGGCTCCATAGCACAGAATCCTAATCAAGATAATACAATCAGGGCCTTTCGCTTGGGTGCCAACATGGCCCTTCCTCTCCATGGTAGAAGTGTTGGTAAGGAAAGGAGAGAGACTACAGGTTCCTGGCAGGTCAATCCCAGAATAAGAAGCAGATGGAGGAAAGAGTCTTTCCAGAGAGATGTGTTTCTCCAGGCCAGGTGTAGTCCCAGACAGAGGGGCTTTTTTGATCACTTTCTTTCCTTAAAGAGGGAGCCTTCTGGGTCCACACTTTTCTGGGAAAGGGACATACTGTGCTATAACTCATTCCCCCATGAAGAGAGAAGATACTTCAGTGGCCTCACAGAACATTTCACAATCTAGGCTCTAGATTTCCAGGTCAGGAAGTGGCTCCCTAAGCTATGATTCATCCTTGGAGGAGGGAGATTTTCAGAGCCCAGGTCTTCTGGGGGACCTAGGAATGAAAAGAGCCTCTTTAGACATAAGTATCCTTGCAAAGAAAAGGCCTTTCGTGGCTTCTGAGGACGTCTATTCCAAGGAGAAAGGTGGATAGATGGCTCAGTGGATAGAGCACTGAGCTTGAAATTAGGAAGATTTGAATTCAAATCCTTCCTCAGACACTTATTAGCTATGGAACTCTGGGCAAGTCACTTTAACTTCTGTCTGCCTTAATTTCTGCAAATGTAAAATGAGAAGGTTGGACTTGATTATCTCTAAGGTCCCTTCCAGCTCTAAATAGGGAGGGCATAATACAACTTCTGGGCAGCCCCAGGAAAAGCCAAGAATTTTCATTTCCACTTTTCTCCTTCAACTGAATTTGCTTCAGAAGCCATTGGTGCTAAGAGAAATTTTAGATACATATGAAAGCAAGCATATGTCCCTGGGATTTTTTTAGTCTTGTATACATTCACAAATGGCTTCTTCCCTTAATATGCTCAAGGATAAAAGACCTTCAAGTTTGTACCCATTGTTGGTATGGCTAAGAAGACTGACCAAAGTTCATTCAGAAAGCCATTTTTTAAACTTTTTAACACCTTGGTAACAGATTACAGAAAGTCAAGCATACACACTGGAAGATGAAGTGGCCGAGGTCTTACAGAAGTTAATCTCTAAGGAAGCCAGAAATAATGAGGAAGAACCTGATTATCCTTCCAGCAGGACAGAGAACTATGCTGAAAACCTCCCAGAGGAAATGGTGAGTGTTTTTAGCAGTACACATTATGAAATAGCATTAAGTTTAAAGATTTAAATAGTGTTTCCCTTTAGGGAATAAATAAAAGCTATCTAAGGAAAGCATGACTGATACAAGTATTATAATGATTTCCCTTTTCAAGAAGTATTATTTCTATTCCATTACCATCTCCAATACTTAACACAGTGCCCGGTATGTATAAGGTGTTTAATAAATGCTTGTTGATTTATTGACCAACTGATTTGTCCACCTTCTCACAGTAAACGTAACTCAAGCATAAAAATGTAATCAATCTTCAACTTATCTCTTTTATTTCACATGTTGAATAGGAGGCCTGATCATCTCACTTAGTTGCATATCCCACCTCCTGTATCTACCCCTCTCTCTCTGGACCCATGCCATCTCTTACAGGACCATTATATCTTCTCCTTGCTAGACTTCTAGTGTTTAGAATATCCTACAGATGGTAATCAAGTTGTCTTCTCTGCACATTTTGTTCAACATCATTCCCCTCTCCTTTATTTTTTTTGACATTTTTATTTAAAGTTTTGAATTCCAAATTCTGTCTTTCCCTCCTTCCTGTACCCCCTCCCTGAGATGGTAAGCAATCAAATATAGGTTACATGTGTGCAATTATATAAAACATTTCCATATTAGTCATTTTATATAAGAAAACTCAAATAAAAGAAATAAAAGAAATAAAGAAATAAAAAGAATAAAAGAAAAAAATGAAAGAAAGTAAAAATAGCAGGCTTCAGTCTGTATTCAAATAATATCAGTTCTTTCTCTCGAAGTGGATAGTATGCTTCATCAGTCCTTTGGGATTGTCTTGGATCATTGTATTGCTAATAACTAAGTCATTCACAACTCTTCATCAAACAATATTGCTGTTACTGTGTACAATGTTCTCCTGGTTCTGTTCACTTCACTATACATCAGTTCATGTAAATCTTGACAGGTTTTTCTGAAATCATCCTTCTCATTTCTTATAGCACAATAATTTTCAATTACAACCACATACCATAGCTTGTTTAGTCATTTCCCAGTTGATAGGCATCCCTTTAATTTCCAATTTTTAGTGGCCTTTAGAAAGATCTGCTACAGAGCTGGGGTTCAAACTCCAATCTGAGTCCAAATTCTGCCCCTTTGCATTGGGCCAGAACGACCTAAAACTAACTTGTAGAAAATATTCGACAGTCTTGCTTAATTGTTCTGTAGAACAACTCATTCATAAAGAGGAAAACTGGTGCTTTGTCTCCCCCTAGAATACCAATTCAATACAATATCTTTTTTAACAAAATATTTTATTTTTTCTCCAATTACATGTAAAAACAATTTTAACATTTGTTTTTTTTTCTCCCTCCCTTCCTCCCTTTCCACACATTGAGAAGGCAAGCAATTTGTTATAGGTTATATATGTGCAGTCATGCAAAACATATTTCCATGTTAGTCATGTTGTGAAAGAAAACACAAAGAAAACACACAGAAAAAAAACAAGAAAAATAAAGTAAAGAAAAAGTATGCTTCAATCTGCATTCAGACTCCATCAGTTCTTTCTCTGGAGATGGATAGTATATAATATCTTTTTTAAAAAAATAAAATTCTTGGTGCAAAATAAAAAAAAGATCTGCTATAAATATGTTTGTATAAATAGATCCTTTTCCCTTTTTTGGATGTCTTTGGGATATAGACTTAGCGGTGGTATTTCTGGATCAAAGGTATTATAGTTTTATAGCCCTTTGGGCATAGTTCCAAATTGCTCTGCAGAATGGTTGGATCAGTTCACAATTCCACCAACAGTACATTAGTGTTCCAGTTTTCCCACATATTCTCCAACATTTATCATTTTCCTGTTTTGTCATGTTGGCCAATCTGAGAGGTGTGAGGTGGTACCTCAGAATTGTTTTAATTTGCATTTCTCTAATCAATAGTGATTTAGAGCATTTTTTATATGCCTAAAGATAGTTTTGATTTCTTCGTCTGAAAACTGCCTGTTCATATCCTTTGACCATTTATCAATTGAAGAATGGCTCTTATTTCTATAAATTTGACTCAATTCTCTATATATTTGAGAAATAAGGCTTTTATCAGAGATACCTGTTGCAAATTTTTTCCCAGTTTTCTTTCCTTATAATTTTGGTTGCATCGGTTTTGTTTGTGTAAAACTTTTTAATTTTATATGATCAAAATTATCCATTTTACATTTTGTACTACTCTCTATATTGTCTTTGGTTCCAAATTCTTCCCTTGTCCATAAGTCTGACAGATAAACTACTCCATGCTCTCTTAATTTGCTTATGGTATCATCCTTTAGGTGTAAATCATGTACCTATTTGGACCTTATCTTGCTATGCAATGTGAAATCTTAGTCTATACCTAGTTTCTGCCATACTATTTTCCAGTTTTCCCAGGAGTTTTTGTCAAATAACATGTTTTTGTTCCAAAAGCTTGGATCTTTGGGTTTATCATATGCTAGATTACTGTGGCCACTTAGTATAGTGTAATTTGTACCTAATCTACTCCACTGATCCACTCTATATCTTAGTCCCAGATTGTTTTGATAATTACCACTTTATAATACAGTTTGAGATCTGGTACAGCTAGACCACCTTTTTTAGCATTTTTTTTCATTGATTCCCTTGATATCCTTCATATGTTGTTCTTCCAGATGAATTTTATTGTTTTTTCTAGCTCTATAAAATAATTTTTTGATAGTTTGATTGGTATGTTCTGAAAAAATAGACCAATTTAAGTAGAATTGTCATTGTTATTATATTGACTCAGCCTACCTATGAGCAATTAATATTTTTCTAATTGTTTAGATCTGACTTTATTTGTGTGGAAAGTGTTTTATAGTTGTGTTCATATAGTTCCGGGGGTTATCTTGGCAAGTAGACTGCCAAATATTTTATAATGTCTTATTTTAAATGGAATTTTTCTTTCTATCTCTTGCTGCTAGACTTTATTTGCAACATATGGAAATGCTGATGATTTGCCTGGGTTTATTTTGTATCTTGCAACTTTGCTAAAACTGTTAATAATTTCAAGTAGATTTTTAGTTGATTCTCTAGGACTTTCTAGGTATAACATAGTGATAGTTTTCTTTCCTCATTGCCTATTCTAATTCCTTGAATTTCTTTTTCTTCCCTTATTGCTATAACTAACATTTCTAGTACAATATTAAATGACAAAGGTGATAATGGGCATCTTTGCTTCACCCTTGATTGTATTGGGAAGGCTTCTAGCTTATCCTCATTACAGATAATGCTTGCTAATAGTTTTAGATAAATATTACTTATCATTTTAAGGTAAGCTCCATTTACTCTTATGCTCTCTAGTGTTTTTAATAAGAATGAGTGCTGTATTTTGTCAGAGGCTTTTTCTGCTTCTATTGAGATAATCACATGATTTCTGCTAGTTTTGTTATTGATATGGTCAATTATGCTGATAGTTTTTCTAATATTGAACCAGCCCTGCATTCCTGGTATAAATCCCACCTGGTCAGAATGTATGATCCTTGTGATATATTGCTATAATCTTTTTGTGAGTATTTTATTTAAAATTTTTGCGTCAGTATTCATTAGGGAAATTGGTCTATAGTTTTCTTCTTCTGTTTTGATTCTTCCTGGTTTAGGTATCAGCACCATATTGCCCCTTTCCTTTAAAATTCTGCTGTAATTTCCCATTGGGATCAGCTCCAAACCCATCACCTCTTCTTTTAAGGTCCTTTACCAGTGTGCCTTGATTGTCTTATTTCCTGAGAAATCCTACAATGTGCTAGTCTGCCTCTCATGATCATAGCAAACATATTTATTGAAAATAAATTTTTCATCTGTTCATCCTACAACTGCCTTTGAGCCTCCCCCAAAACAGTACCATAGGCCTAAATTGTCTCTTCTTTTTCCCTGTAGCTTGCCACCTTCCCCCTATCTTTCAAAGGGCACCTGAAAACCACTCCCAAGGGAGGCATTCTATATTGATCAAAGAAGGTGATAGCCTTCCTGCACTCTGCCCAGGCTGAATGGTTACTCTCACTGTTACTCTCCATGATCTTTCCTTACTCTTCTTTCCTTTTTTTTTATTATGAACTTAATAATTATCAACAAACACAAATATTCAAACATAAAAGGACAAAAAAGAGGATTGTATATAAAACTATGAACTTCTATTTCATACATTTTGTTTTTTAAAAATATGTATTAGAGAGGCATCCATGGTGTGGTGCAGTGGTATAAAATTCAAATAAAAATAGGGTGCTGAATCATATATAAGGGTCCTTGCACGTGCATAGTGATTGAGAAAACCACAAATTCACATATCTATGCTTTATTTTATTTTATTCATTTTGCTAAATATTTCCCAATTGCATTTTAATCTGGTTCTGGAAGCACTACAGGGTGTTGTGGACCACATGTAGACCCCTCTGGCAGAGTGAGTAGAAAACTGACCTCTGAGTCAGGAAGGCCATGGGTTTAAGACCTGTGTCTAGCCCATACTGGCCATGTGAGGCCTGGGCAAATCGCTTCCATTCTCAGGGCTCCCAGACCACTCTCTGGTACTATAAATTGCAGGGCAGCCAATCTGCCTCAGTGGGAATTTCTTATTGTTGTTGTAGTTCAATCATTTCAGTCATGCCCATCTCTTTGTGACCCCATTTAGGGTTTTCTTGGCAGAGATACTAGAGTGGTTTGTCGTTTCCTTCTCACTTTACAGCTCACTTTACAGATGAAGAAACTGAGGCAAACAGGGTTAAATGACTTGTCCAAGGTCACACAGCTAGTGTTTGAGGCCAAATTTGAACTTGGGTCTTCCTGACTCCAGGACTGGAGTCATGGCCCAGACTACATGGATAAAATCATAGACTTAGTTCCTTCCCCCAATATGTGTATATTGATTTTAACAAGGTTATAACAAAATTGCATTTTTGTCCCTTTCTGAACTTTCTTCTTGTTTGTATTTTTGTTTTATTGATGTTCTTTTCCTTTAAAAAAAAAAACAACTTTACTTACTTTGACTTATGTACCTTATATATTGTTTTAATCTGCCCATTCTGTCTATTCTGTTAGATAGGCAGAACATGTCTGAGCCAAAGCAGAATCAGGAAGACCTGCATTTGAATCCTGCCTCAGATACACTTACTAGCTGTGTGACCCTGTCCCAGTCCCTTGGCCTCCCTATGTCCCCATTTCCCCATATGCAAAGTAGGGATAATAATAGCAACTACCTCACAGGGTTGTTAGGAAGATTACATGAGTTAATATGTAAAGAGCTTCACAAACCCTAAAGCACCACATAAATATTAGTTATTATTATTTTTATCATTGTTATTATTGCTACAGTTACGGTGAAAAGGGAGAAACTTTTCCCTCCACAATCAAGGCCCAAATAAAAAGGAAAAACAAGTTGCAATTGCATTTATTCTAACAAAATATATCTGAGGTTTTGTTTTGTTTTGTTTTTTAATGAAATTTCCCACTGCCACTGTAGACTCTAAAACCAACCATTCAAGATGGTCCTACTAATGGAGAAAGTGATGATACAGTACGTAAGACCTGGACCATGCCTAACACCTTGGAAAGAAGAAACAAACTTTATACCGAAGACAATTTTGATGACCTCCAGTATTTTCCAAACTTTTATGCACTACTAAAAAGCATTGACTCAGGTAAATATTCTGAAATATTACCGTATTTGATGGAAATATTGAATCTAAAAATGTTCTGTCTTGCTTTCAGCCTTCTGCAGTCACTTCCTATCAAGTAGCTGATATACTGAGAGCTTGGAGAGAGCACAAGATTTGCCAACATTTAGTCTGTCTTGAACCAGTCAATAAGCATTTATTTAGCTCCTACTAGGTGCCAGGCACTGGGCTAGGTACAGGGGATATAAAGACAAAAATGAAACAGTCTTTGCCCTCATGGACCTTTTAATCTATTAGGTGAGAAAACATGTGCATCAATAAATATATACAAAACAAATGGAAAATAAATGCAAGGTAAATTTTTGAGAGAGAGCACTCGAGTATCAGGAAAGACTTTATGTAGAAGATGATTAACTTTCTCCTGGGTAACTCAGGATCTTGCAACTAATCAGCAAACATTTATAATGGGTCTACTACGTCCTAGGGCAGCTGGCAAATTTGTCCTCAGATATTTCCTAACTGAGTGACCCTGGGCAAGTCACTTAACCCTGTTTGCCTCAGTTTTCTCATCTGTAAAATGAGCTGGAGAAGGAAATGACAAACCACTCCAGTATGTTTGCCAAGAAAACCCCAAATGGGGTCACAAAGAGTTGGGTACAACTGAACAACAGCACTGTCACATACACTGGGCTTCTCAACACATATCAGCTCATTATCAACCTCAGGGATCTTAGAGTGTTAGAGAGAATCAAGAGAAAGGAGATTAGGCTGAATATTCTAGAGCTGTTTTTTAATACCCTATGGTTTCTTTATTGCTTTTCTTACTATGAATGTATAGACTTTATTTATAAATGTTTGATTTTAGCTTGTTTTATTATCATTTGACTTTGTTCTTCTAAATAGGAAGCATACCCTACCCCCTCTCACTAACTCAAACCATTTAATTAAAAGTTCAAATTAGTTGGGTCATCATCAGTCAAGGAATATACTAATATATTACACACAATAATTAAAGACTATTTATTCTATAATAAACTATAATGCTTAGAAGCATTTCCTTTCCCCATAGAGATTTACCCAAATAAACCTCTAGTTCCTTTTCTTTCCCCTTTCACTCTGCCCCCCAATCTCACTGTTAAAACTCATACAGGGGGCAGGTAGGTGGCACAGGAGAGAGTACCGCCCCTGGAATCAAGAGGACCTCAGTTCAAATCTGGTCCCAGACCAGACATTTGACATTTACGAGCTGTGTGACTCTGGGCAAGTCACTTAAACTCAATGGCCTCACCAAAGACAAACAAACAAACAAAAAAACTCATATAGCCTTATTTATCCTTCTGTAAATGTTATATATTTCTTCACCCGAGTGAATCCTATCCAGACTAGGCACATGGAAGAGATTCTCCCCAACATTTCTTAGCATCCTTACTTTTCCCTGTTGAAATATTTAGACTCATTCTGCTGTTTTAAAATGTTTTCTCAGTGCCTTTTGTTTTCATTCCACAGTCATGCCTCTTCTAGGTAACAAACAGGTGAACAAACCCAGTGGACACAGTAACAACTCATTCTGAATATGTGCATGTAACTTCATTTCTGGAGAATACCCCTTCTCCTCCACCTCCAGGTTGAACGGGTGTAGGTGATACCATCCAGACTGAGTCAGACTTGCTACAGTCTCCAGGACTTTGTCATCTTTATTGGCCCATTTCTGAGTCATTGTGTAGCATTAGGAAGCAGATTCCCAGCTGAAAATCCTATCCCTCTTTACCTGGTGAGTCACTACTTGCCACTGAAGGTCATTCCTTCAGCCTCCAAGACTGTGTTTCAATGATTATGAAATGTGCCAATGCAGATGTAGCTATAGACAAAATGATGAGGTTGCTAAAGTTTGTCATTGACAGCCCTTTGCCTTGCTCCTCTGCCATATTCCCTTGCCCTTACTTTATCTCTTATTTGCCCTTGTCTATACATTTTAAAAGTTTTTAAACATTTAATCTATTTTCAACACTTGGTTTGATTCAGAGGTAAATGGTGAAACCCAGTAGTTCACTGACTTTTTTATCTTATCTTCAAATGAGATAATATCTGTAAAGCACTTAGCAGTGTCTGACTCAGAAGATTCTATATAAATGCTTCTTCCTTTCCCCTTCCCCCGCTTCTTACCATGAATGAATAGGCTTTTTTTACAAAACGTAATATAAAATATTTCTTCAAAATACTGTACCACATAGCATATTATACACCTTATATACATTGTGCTGTAATTTCTATTATATTTATCTATAAACGTGTTTTGGTTCCGCCTACTAGATTTTAAGCACATTATACTGGAATGTAAGCTTCTTAAGATCTGGGACTATTTCTTTATTCTTTTCTTTTTTTTTAACTCACCTTCTGGCACAATATATTGTACACAATCAGCAATATTAATTATTAACTAATTAATTAATCGATGTTGTTGAATTAAGCTGAACCATGTCCCACTGGGTTCTAATTCCAGCTCTGCTGCTTATTACCTCTACATTGGGCAAATAGATTAACCTTTTTGACCTCATCTGGAAGACTGGCAATTTGGACTAGATGAGCCATGGTTCTTTGTAGAAGGAAATTATATGATTTTATGTCTTACTTAGTGTTTTGGTCCAAATGTCAGCAATCATTCTCCCTTAGAATGAGATATCTTTGAATGGAAAAATAATATACCCTGAAAAATAACATTGTAGGCCACACTCAAGTTTTATATGACCCAGTTGGGGCGGGGAGGGATATGTGATCAATACCATATTTTTGTACCATATTTTTTTATTTTCCCCAGCACCAACCATAGAGCATTAGATATAGTGGGCATGTAATAAATATGTGTTAAATGAGTAAGTGAATGAATGAATGAGAGAATCTTAAGTGGTCATCAAAAATGAGGGTACATTTTAATTGTTTGTACAATGATTTATATCCTTTTATTTTTTGTGTCCTTTTCATATATATGATTTCTCTCTATAGAGAAAGAGGCTAAAGAGAAAGAAACACTGATTACTATAATGAAGACATTGATTGACTTTGTGAAGATGATGGTTAAATATGGCACAATTTCTCCAGAAGAAGGTGTTTCATACCTTGGTAAGAATGCTATTTGTTATAAGAATAGACTTGAATCTACAAAGCTGGGTGTGTATCAAACACTGTAATAGAGTTAGGTAGATTTGTAGTTAATTCACAATTTTGCCCAAAAGATTGGTCAGAACCATAACCATGACAAACTGTGGTACTTTGTCCTCAGCACAACTATCTGACAGGGGGAAGGTTAGGAGGGGCCAATACTCTTTTCCTTTCTGTAGGCCAGAGATTGTTGGCCCTACACTTCCTGGTTCTTCTCCAGCCCATGCCCCATCCAGGTGTGGTGGGGGGCAGGCAGACTGGAAGATGGTTTAGACATCAGGCTGTGGCCCAGCAGGTACTTGGGAAACATATTGGGAAGAGTGGTCCGCTCCCTCTCCTGGCACAACTACACCATGGTTCCTTCTCCTGGCTCAAATGCTTATTAGCTATATGTCTCTGAGCTACTCATTTAACTTATATTTTTTCTACAAAAGAATTTTTACAATGCTTGTTGTTGTTCCTATTGATGACCCTGGGATATTTAAAACACCATACCATCAAGCCTGAAGACAAGAATATTTGGGGAGGAACAGAATTGCTGTTTTCAAGAGTTTGAAAAGCTGTCATATGAAAGAGGGATTAGACCAGCTCTGTTTGGCCCCTGGGGAAGAACTAGACAGAATTTACAAAGAGACAGATTCTGCTCACTCACTGTAAGGAAAAACTTCCTAAGAGTTGAACTTGTCCAAACAGAGAAGATGATGCCTCAAGAGGCAGCGATTTCTTCATTGCTGGCAGTCTTCAAGCAAAGGCTGCATGGCATCTTTTCAGGGATGTTACAGAAAGGATTTCTGCTCAGGTACACATGAACTGGATCAGATGACCTCTCTCAGGTCCGTTCCAATGGTAAGATTCTGTAATTCTGTGAACTGGAGCTGTTAGAGTTAATCTGACAACAAAAGCAACAGAATATCTATATACAATCAGGCCCCATTTCTCACCCTCCAAGCAATCATAATGTTGGCACCCAAAGACAGGGAGGGCTTCTGCACCCTCCATTCATTCCTGTACATACCTCCTGAGACTCTTGGTGAGAGACGCTCTTCCCTCTGCCACAATGATCTGGCGTGGGCCGCAGGAGCCAATCCTGTTCAGGGCTCTCCACTGTCATGTGTGGCTTCTGATTGCTACAACTATATCATAGCACTGAGAATTAGGTACAGTTACGTGAAGTCTGTGTCCAAGCTAGACATCCATCAGACTTATTGTGACCTGTGCCAACTCGCCTCTACCCATGATAGTAATGTTAAATTTCTATACAGGCTTGTGAAGTATGGTGCTATCATGGCAGTAGATGACTTTTGTGGGGGAGGGGAGGCAACTGGGGTTAAGTCACTTGCCCAGGGTCACATAGCTACTAAATATCTGAGACCAGATTTGAACTCAGGTCTTTCTGACTCTAGGACTGGTGTTCTATCCACTATGCCACATAGCTGCTCCTGGTAGATGATATCTTGATAAGATGCTCCCCGGTGCCAGACTTCTCACCACAGCTAAGGTCACCTACTTGTTCCTAAAAGGAAATTTTCTAGATTCATAGACTTCCATTTCACATCATCTCTCAACTTATTAGCTGTGTGACTCTGGGCAAGTCATTTAACTTCCAGTTTCCTCATCTGTAAAATGGGGATAATAATAGCACCTACCTCTCATGTTTGTTGTGAGAATTAAATGAGATAAGAATCATAAAGTGCTTATCACAGTGTCTGGCACATAGTAAGCACTATACAAATGTTAGCTATTATTTTAAGTAGATTGGCAGGGATATGGGCCTGCGGACAGGACATGGAAGCTAACACACAATGTACATGACCCAGAGTTATTAGAGGTCTTGCCACATTATCAAGCCACAATCTGAATGGAGGTGGGGGAAGATGTCATCCATGACTGTGGTCCAGAAGAGCTGGCTGAATCATAAGGAGGCTTAGTGGACCCTACCCACAAGTCTCCCAGGTTATCAGCATTTTCCAGAAACAGAAAATACCAGCAGCAGCATTAAAAAGACTGAAGCTTTGGTGAATCATGTTGAGTCAGGCAAATGGTTATCTTTTTGGCAGCCCATGAATTTTGACTTCTTAAACACAAATGGACCCTCTTACTGCCTCCTGCTTTAAACTTCTGCCAGGCAATCAGGCTCTCTTCCCATAACTCTGCACTCTGCAGAAACCTGGTATGAACCTAACCCTCCTTTCTGGTTTCCAGTTGTTCTCCTTCCATCTTCAACTCCTTGGCCCCAAGCAGGGATTGCCATTTCCCCTCCCTGATTTATTACCCTACTACAAGTTATGCCAGCCTTGCCCCAGGGGGGTGTAACATAATCTGTTGTGAGAAGAGATACTGGAGAGTTTGCATAGCCCTGAATATGGATATTAGCTAGACTACCATATTAACAGATCAGATGCTCTAGAGTCACAAAGGAACAATCAGGCGACCAGATTTCTTGATGGAATGAGGCAAAAGCCTAGTTACTTGGACAAAGAAGAAAAAGGCAAGAGTGATATAACTGATTCTGTTATTTTGAGGATCTGTGCTCATGTCTTGGTGAGCAATAACAGTTTTAAGTACCAATGAGCATTACTATGAGGCATTATACTCTGATGTTGTGCCCAGCACAGTGCTGAAAAATAAGCAGAATACAAGGAAGAAAAGGACATGGTCTCCTGTTATTTACACTATACAGGTGGAGCTGGATAAGAGTCTTCCTGGGATATTGTCAGAAGGATACCTGAAAAGAATTGGGAGGGAAGTTGGCCTGGAAGATCTCTAAGGTTCTTTTCAACTGTAGAATTACATAATGCTACAAAATACAATCTAGTTCAGACTCGACCGCTTCCCTATCCATTTTTATTAGGTTAAGTTGTTTGTTTGCTTTTTGAAAGATTTTTCAAGCTTTTTAAAATCAAAACTTGGAATTTTTAAATGGGACCTTCTTTTTTCCAGAAAACTTGGATGCAACAATAGCTCTACAAACCAAGAATAAGCTCGACAAAAATGCCACTGACAATAAAAACAGATTCATTTCAGGTATTTTTCTTATTATTTCCTTCATGGCCTTAAAAAGGACCAATATCATTTAGATTAGTGAAAAAGGCCTGTGTTTAATAATAAGCAGTCACTAGACTGTAGTTTTGAAAGACTTGGGATAAGAGGGATAGACCTAAATTGACTACCAGGGAATGCATGCATCTAGGTGACCTCTAAAATCTCTTGCAATTCTAAGATTATATGATCCTATTATTGCAGCATTTATTGCACAGTTATCACCGTATTACCTATTTCCAAGTGGTGTTAGTGGTGATTGTGAATTTTTTTTTCAACTTCCTAGAAAGAATACGCATGTATTTTTATCTATTTTTAGTAGGTTCCACTGATGTCGAACATCAATGAATGACCTCTTTTAGTCTGCCAATTTCCCCCTTTGGTTCCTTATGTAGAATTAAGGGATGAGAAGATAGCGTTCATAGGAATAAAGGCCTGCTAAAAATTCAGGAACATGAAGGTCTGATTCTCTAGGATTGTTCAGTTTGGAATGAATGGCTGTATCTATACAGTAGAGAATTGTACTGTTTTTTCAATTAATTAAAAACATCCAAACTGGATGGTTTTAGTCTCCCAAAATTCACCACAGGCCTGATTTGCCCAGTTTTTGTTGCCTATATTAATTAAACTGAATAGAAAATTGCTAGGTTTCCACTTCATACCATCCCACATAACAACAGACAGTTACCATTTAAGTAGTTAACAACCGCTCTCGAATTGTAGATATAACAGTACCTCTTTGCTTATGGTTCCTTCAGATAAGAGTCATGAAGAAACAGACAGTACAAAGGAGGAAGCAGCTAAAATGGAAAAGGAATATGGAACACAAAAAGATTCCACAAAAGATGGGTCTAACACACACCAAAACAACGAGGAACCAGAAGGTATAGAATCGTCACCCTTGGCTTATGATGAGATGGAGGTATCTGTTTCCCCACACCAGAGAAAGGTTTGACAATTAGTACACAGGAGTCAAAATTTGTATACAAAGGTGATACAATTACCTGGCTATTGGATGTGCTATACTGTTCACATTCTGAAGCCAACGGGCTTGCTCCAATACTCCAGAACCAATTGCCCATACTTTCAAGTCATTATCATGACTTAAATTTATGTGCTGTCTTAAGATTTACCAGATACTTTCCTCACAACAACCTTGTGAGGAAGATAATGCAAATATAATTATACCCATTTTATAGATAAGGAGAATGAAACTTAGGGAGGTTATGGGACGTGCCCCCAAACTCACACAGCTAGGGGCACAGGAATTTAAACATCATTCTCACGCTAAAGCCACTGTGTTTTTTATTATGCCATAGCTAATTAGGTTGCTATGGTCTACGACTTGTGCTTAGTAATAAATCTTGCATAAAAAAAACTCATACAAACTTCTTAAAAAAAAATCAAATGAGAAAAGCTACCCTTGGAAGCTACCCTGGATGTTATGATAACATTATATGTATGTATGTATGTATGTGTATGTATAAACACAGACATGTGTATGTGCACCTATACACATATATGTACATACATCTGTATATGCACACGTGTATGTGCGTGTGCCTGTATATACATACCCATATGTGTACTGTGTGCATATATACACATGCATATTGTGTGTGTACAAATATATGTGAATATATGTACATGTATGTATTTAAATCAGTGCCAGTGGTTTTTTTTTAATTTATTCGATACATTTTGTTTTGACACAACAAATACCCAAACAACCCCTTCCTAAAAAATATATCAGGGTTAGGGGAGAAGGGACGCAGCTGTTTCATCCTTATCATTGTGTAAAGAGTGTGCAGGGCTCTTAATCTCCTACAGCCTCTAGGGGTTGAAATAGAAGGCCAACTATGCTGAGGCTGAGGGAAATGGGTTTCTGGCCACAGAAATTGGGAGAAGAGGAAAGAATAAGGCCCTCCCTCCCCCCACCTTGCTCCATGGCAATAGCCAAAGCAGCCCTGGTGTTGGGAGAGGGGAGGCACACCCTAGCAGAGGACGCTGAAGTAAGAGGGGGAAGGGAACAATCACAACTGCACCTGCAATTATCTCTTCTGTCGCCCCACCCCATCCTGCCCCGCTTTGAAACCCTTTTCCTTTGCTGCCTCTCTTCCTACTGCAATCTTCAACCGGGTCAGCCCCAGCCTTACCTGGGCTCTAACCCTTCTGCCCTGTGTCCACTACAACATCTGGAACCCTCCTCTATTGTTCAAAAAAATTTTTAAATACTCCCTCCGATCCTAGATCTGTTCCTCTCACATTCCTTTCATTTTCTGGTGCTCACCAAACCCTAGCTTTCTCATGAAGACACATCTCTTGGCACTGTCTCCAGGGTTGACTTCTCTAGTACAAAGGATCGGGAAGAAGGATTAACATGATCTTTGCTCCTGCCACTTTCAGATCCTCCCTCTCAGACCCTAGACCTCCCCTTGTTTAAAGAATTTAATTCAGATCCTTATTGCAGTCAGGTATGGGCTTCCAGCTTGCTTTCCCTGCTCTCTGATGAATTAAGTAACTGACTCAGTCTTTTTCTATACTGTAATCCCTGCCTTCTTAAAAAAAAAACAAAAAACCAAAACCCTGACACCCCAGTTCCAATTTCTAATCCTCCTACATTCCTATGACTTCTGACTCCAATCGACAAAGGAGAAGTCCTGTGGTCATAATGTAATTGCATCCCTTCCCCCTCACCAGTCAACTGCATTTACCCCTGGTCCCATAATTTCTACTTAAAGATCTGCCTTTAATTTTGACACTATGATCCAAAGGCTGGTGCTATATTAGACCAGAATTTTTAAATTTCTGAATGTTGGATTTATTTTCATCCTGGTGGAAATTGTATGCATTGTTATTTTGGTTCTGCTTTCTTCCCTCTACATACCTGCATCTTCTTGTGTTTCTCTGAATTCTTCATATTTGTACAGTGCATAAAGTGCTAGGCGTGGAATCAGGATTTTGTTGTTCAGTTGTTTCAGTCATGTCCAACTCTTCATGACTTCTTTTGTGGTTTTCTTGGCAAAGACATTGGAGTGGTTTGCCATTTCCTTCTACAGCTCATTTTACAGGTGAGGAAACTGAGGCAAATAGGATTAAGCGACTTGCCCTGGGTCACCTAGCTAGGAAGTGACTTGAATTCAGGTCTTCCTGACTCCAGGCCCAGAGTTCTGTGCACTCTGATACCTAGCTACCCTAAACTCAGATCATACCTCAGGCGTTTACTAGCTCTGTGACCTTAGCAAAATCATTAAACCTTTCATCTTTTGCTATTTAAAATTAGGAAATTGTACTCAATGGCCCCTAAGGTCCCTTTCAGCTCTATGATCATTCCCCATGGCACAATAATATTCCATTATGTTCATATAGGATATGAACTAGCTGTTCTCTAGTTAACTGGGTACTTATTTGTTTCCAGTTTTTTTTTTCACATGTATTACAAATAATGCTATGGTCAACATTTTTCAAAAATATGAGTTTTCTTCTTTCTGAGAGTTACTTCCTTGGGGCTGTCCCAAAGAATGGTCCCAGAAGTAGGTAATTACTTGGTGAAGTGGATAGAGTACTAGACAATTCATTTAACCTCTCAGCCTCAGTTTCCTCAGTTTTGAAGATATCCTATTCATTTTTAACAAAAGAAAGGTCACTTGTTTTTTGAAAAGGGAGGTTTAAGTTACATTATTGATTACTATTTATTCAGGAGTTGATTACTCAGGGATTGAAGGTCATGAGAAGCCCCATTAGAAGTAGAAAAGGAGATAAAAAGAGTGAAACTCTTTCAATGGAATTTTATTGTTATCAAATTTGTGAAACATTCCATAGAGGCTGAAGGTGTTGGATAAAATGAGGAGGTTTTGTCTTAAAAAATATATATATATATATATATAAAATTTTAAGCTATTTTTGCTATCTCCAGCCAGAACTGGAATCAAAGATTAACATTTGCTGAACGAATAGAATTACATTCCACAAGACAAAGTCACTAAAATATATGCTCCTATATTTATATTTATGGTTAGTTAGTTTACTTTTATGTGGGAAAAAAAATGATCTGTTTTTCTAGTCCGATGATCTGTAATTCCAGCTTTCATTACTGGAAAGGACAGTGGAAACTTTCATTCTGGTGGAGGCCAAAGTTGTCTGAACTTCCTGTCTCTTTCATTCAACAAATGTTTATGAGGTTTTGATGGTTTATGCAGTGATACGATGGGGAATGGGAGGAGAAAATATAGATCTGGCTTAAGGTCTAGGTTAGAGGGAGTCAAACTAGAGAAGAATTCTTACATAATATGAAAACAACTATGGCAGAAACTGGATATGTAAGTGCTCGTTGCTACATTTTCCTCAGGGCAGAAGACGCAGGATAGACCTGTCAAGAGCATCATCAGTCATTGGAAGAAGTGATAGAGTAAGATTGTATCTCTCAGTAAAGATTAAGACAGTGGCCTAATGAAAAACCACTCAGGTTTGAATGCATGCAAGAGAGATAGGAGCTCAGAGAGAGAATGGAAGCAAGAACATCATTAGCAAGGAGACTGTTACAATATAATACAGGTAGAAGATGATCTCCGTCCCTATCCTTTTCATGACTGTGAGGCTAAGGAATGAACCCTTGAATTTCCCAGAGAGCTGTGTCTTAATGTGAGAGTCTGTTTTCCTTTGTCTTTCATCAGCCTATGCTAACTTGTTCAAGTCTGGGACAGATTTGCAATTGCCTCCCGCCCTACCGGACAGGGGAAGAATGGGGAGGGGGGGTGTGGAGGGGAGCCAGTGTGGGGGAAGGAAGGCTCATAATTTCTTATTTTAAGACATAAGTATATTGATTGCTATAAGACGTTTGACATGAATTTGCTGCCCAAGTTTGTATTTTATATCAATACAAACAGTTCAACTAGTTTAATAACTATTTACATTTAGGTTAATTAGTTTCAATGAATAAGTATAACCGTTACAGTCGTTCCCCTTGGAATAGAATGGTCAGGGCTGCTCACCAAATGGAAGAACAGCTCTGACTCACCCTACTGTCCCTATTTAGTTAATGAATTGAATAAAATACATTTTTCCTAGAGTTAGCTCCCATTTTCTAGTTCTCTGGTTTTTTTTTACTTGCATTAATTTCATAAAAATCTTTCCAGATTTTTTTGTATTTCCCATTGGTTTCATGATTTCTGTAAGTGAGCCTTACTCTGTATCATTTTGGAAACTATATCACACTTATTGAGTCATTTAAGTATAGAGATTTCTGTCTTCTGTGTTCATAGTATAGAACAAAGCAATTTTCCCGGGTCAGGAGGAGCAAATTGAGGTCAGAACAAATCTATATGACAAATTAACCGTTCTGATATTGAAAGCCCACATGGCTTCCCAACTAAGATGATACAGGGTTGATTCTCTGGCATGCTTCCCCTTTGCTTCAGCTTGTTTTAAGACCACATACAATTTTATCTTAACTATATTAAAAAAAAAAAAACCAGAGGGAAAATAGAGACTCAGCATGAAGGAGTGACTTCACTCTGTTCTCTCCCGTATCCAATTTGTTGCCAAGTCCTGTCAATTTTACCTTTGTAACATCTCTCCAAAACACCCCTTTCTCTTCTCTGATACTACCACCACCTTGGTGCAGGCCCATGTCACCTCATACCTAGACTTTTGCAATAGACTGCCGGTTGACCTCCCTCACTTGTCTCTCCACATTCCAGTCCATCTTCCACTCAGCTGTTAGATTATTCTTAGTCTAAATTGTCATATTAATCCTAAAGCGAAGATCTGACCATGTGACCACCACCACCACCATCTCCCATTCAATAAACTCCAATGGGTCCCTCACTCCTCCAGGATCAAATATAAAATCCTGTTTAAAGTTCAAAGTTTTTCAATGGCCCCC